TTTTAAACCCCCTGTCACTCCTGTCCCTGGCGCTTTTGTTTTCTGCGTTGTGTGTAGCTCTGGATTGTGGAAGCGGGGATGCCCGGCACCGGATCATGTTGGTCTTTAGATTATGAATGCAGCCTTGTGAGCATCGCGTTGGACAGCTAGCTAATTAAACTGGAGTGAATTAACCTGGACAGAGTAAGGAGGGTGGAGGTATCGTGCTCCCCGTGTTATGTCTGCACTCTACTGAGTGACCCACGAGCTTTATCTGTCTCTTCATGTGAAACAGAAAGTCGTGCCCTGTGGTGCTGTGAGGACTTGCACTTTGACGAGGAGAAATCACATCCAGATCCATGGTTGTCGTAGCTTTCCACAAACCAATGCAAGGGTGTTTGCTCTTCTGGCTTCCTTGAATTCATCCAGTTTTAAGGATCACAATGCTTCCTGGAAAGGACAGATTCTGGGGATTTTCACACCAGTCCTTGGGAACTTCTCCTGACCTGACTCTAACTCACTCGGCAAGGATAATGCCCAGAACCATAGCTGTGCCCCCTACAAAGGGACTTTCTTCCTGAGGTGATTGCAGCGTCTTCCTGAGACTCGGCAAATTGTCACGGGTTCTGTTGGCACAGGAGCTCAGGTTACATTCCCACCAGTGTCTGGGATGAGGATTTTGTGTGTGTGTGTGTGTGTGTGTGTGTGTGTGTGTGTGTAGCTTTGTAGACCAGGCTGGCCTCAAACTCAGAAACCCGCCTGCCTCTGCCTCCTGATTGCTGGGATTAAAGGTGTGCACCACCACCGCCCTGCTGGGATGAGGATTGTATTCACAGCCTCTGGGGCTGGGCAGCTGACCATTCAGATTCCAGCATCACAGATTAGAGACTTGAAAGAAGGTTAGTGATTCGTGTCCACAGTCACCCATACACTCAGATGATGGCCATCCCGATTATTCAAGATCATCAGATGCTGTTCAGCTGAGGGGAACTTAAAAGCTTGTCTGCTGCTTCTGGGAGCTTGAAGCCAACCTGTAAGCAGCCTCCTTAGATTATCTGCTGAGGCCTGGGGAAATGTTTGGAAGAAGCTGCTGGAGGAGTCTGAACTGTAACCCTATAAGGGAAAATATGCATGGCTACACTCGGGTGGTGACTGCTTCCCTTCCTTACCACTGGAGTACTGGGTCCTTCCAGCCCACGCCTGAAAATATGCTTCAGCAGATGAGGCCTGCCAGGTGTGGTAACTGCCCAAGAGAAGAGCCGCGTCCCAACTGGCTTCCTGCCACACTTCTCTTCAGTTCTCAATATGTCACAGAAGACACAGTTACTATTCAGGAACAGTTTTGGTGTTTTTTCTTTCCTCTGCAATTTTCTCTTTAAGGCACATCACATGGATCCTGCCTCATAAGGAGACTAGAAATTCACTTAGTGAATTGGCTTACCACACAGAGCAGGTACCGGTCAGGCATCATGCTAGACATTCCTGCAGAGAGATGTACACTGTCGTTCCTGGCTGCAGGGGGAGGAGACAGACTATGAGCCACTTGGTATGGCGTGAAGTAGAATGGAATGAGGGCATTGGGGCGGGGGAGGGGAGTTGTGGGGAACCTAGCGATTCTTGTGTTCTTGGCCCAGTCTGTTCAGTGACTGCCGTTCCATCCAGCATAGGGTGCTGGATTTCAGGACTGGGATGTCTGACAAAGGAGAGGCTCCCTGTGCAGAGATTCCTTCTCACCCTGTGCCGCAGGCCAGTCACCTGCTGTTTTTTAAATCTCATTTCTGCCACCTGTTTTGGAGATGATAAGATCATGAGGGTCCCACAGGGAAAGAGCTTGAACAATGCCCAGGTATTAGGAGGCAGCTGGTTAGTGTGTGTGCAGCCCTCGGGCCAGGGTCCAGCAGAAACAGTGGACTGCAGCCTTGAGCAAGTACTTCAGCCCTCTAAGGGAAACTCCCAACTAGAGATGTAATTGCTCAGATCAGATGGCTCTTGACTGTGTCTGTGAGGCATTTCCATGGAGTGCCCAGCCCACCATGGAGGTGCCATCCCCAGGAAGGGCTATGTAAGCAGCTGAGTAAGCCAGAGACAGTGAGTCAGTAAGTCCCTCCTCTCTGCTTCCTTTGGTGATGGACTGGAAGACATAAGTGAAATAAGCCCTTTCCTCCCCTAGATGCTTTTGGCCATGGTGTTTATCACAGCAGCAGAAGGCAAGCTGGGGCTGGTGATTTGGACCTCTTTCCAATAAACTCTGTCTTGAAGAATAATTTGCAAAGTGCTGAGCAAAGCACAGCTGGAGGGTTGGTCTTGAAGGACGTGACTGGAGCTAAACCTTGTGTGTTGTGGCAATTGATGGGGTTCTTTGGATGTTATCTCAGAAGAATTAATGTCTCTTACGAAGAGAGCAGAATTTAGTGTAGCGGTATGAAAGGAGAATTGGAAGGGCCCCTCCCCAGTCAACCTGCTCCGACTCCTGATTGGGCTCCTATTTCTACCTGAGTGGCTTTGGCCAGGGCTCTCTCCTCCCACCTCTAGATGATGAGGCAATGCCTGTCACAAAGCTGAAGCAGGTGGCCCCAGCAAGCATGGGCACTATCATCCCCCCCCCCACAGAACCATTGCCTTTTCTAGTGACCCAGGCAGCCTTGTGGTCTGGCTGTCAGGTATTCAGCATCCAGCATCTGTGTTCTGAGAGAGGCCTTCCCGGTGTTTGCCAAGGAGTTACCTCACACATTCACCTTCTCACTTCCATGCACAGGTGACTTCTCCAGGTCAAAGTGGGACTCTTGCTTCAGCCATGCCCCGCAACTCTCCCAGCCTCCTTCACCATGAGACCTGGCTGTTGTCCCTGTAAAGTACTGTGCCCCCTATACCCCAGTGTCTTATGGATAACCCAGACATATCAAGTGCTCACTGCAAACTGAACAAGATGCCAACTACCCTCACAGTGATGTGGGTAGGCACAGTTTGCTTCTCCTATAAGAGCTGTCAGTGAAGATTCCATGTCATTCCTCCAGGGATGTTCCAGTGCTTTCTGTGTGGACTATGCTTTAGGTTTCTAGAGGTAAGCAAAGATAAGCTGGTTCTCACCAGCTGTCGATGAACTTTGACTGCTGTGCTGTGTCACTGGTCCACAGCTAGCAGTTTAAAGATACTTGTTAACTTATTGAACTGGTCAACATCACATATTAACACATATTAGATAAGCTTAGGAAAAATATCTTCATTCACCAGAACAAGACAAGTAGAAAGAGATTTTACACACACCCTTTGCTGGTGTGTTTGACATCGCTCTTAGTGGAAGACAGCTGGGTTCTCCCCTATATTTAGGCAGAAGGAAGACATCTTAATGGTGGAAGTGCCCTCAATGGCCAGACAGCTGGCAAGGAGGGGTTTCAGTGGCCTTGGCAGAAAATGGTGACCACTCTCTTTGTGCTATAAGCTTGGTGACTGACGTTTCTGATGCTCTCTGGCTCTGGACCACAGGAGACAACATCAGGTCACTTTGCATTTCAGGTTGTCTGTCACCCACACTTGCTGTCTAGTACTCGAGCTGTGCAGACAGCTTGCACTGTGGACAGGTGACACTGTGTGGCACCCAAATGCAATGTTTCTCAGAGTCTCTCCTGACCTTGTTAGAAAAGCAGTTGTGGGTGCTATTGCATTCACAGTGGCTGACACAGACTCCAAAATTCTTACTGGACCCTCAAAAAGATCATTGGGGAAAAAAAACCCTACCACCTGTTTCCTTAGAAGTGACTAGTGCAGTCAGCTTGTTTCTGAGAGGTGTCTGTGAAATGCTGAAGAGGTAGGCCTAGGGTGTGGCTCAGTGCATGCCTAGCACACAGGAGGCTCTGGCTAGTGGCTGAGATAAAAAGAAAGTATTGATGAATAGTTGTAGCTGGCCCATCATTTAGTAAGTCAGGTGACACATGGCTGCAGGCTCTGTAGCTTGTTCTCTAGACCAAGGTGCTGCTATTTGCAGAAGGGCTTCCTAAGCTACAGCAGGGGAAAGGGCAAGTCTCAAGGGTTGAGACTTGATGCAAGCAATGGTTTTTACTACCTGAGTAGTGTCAAGAATGTCTCAAGGGCACTCACTCTTCATGAAGAGTGGTTGTCAGCTGTGAGGAACAAACACTGAATGACTAATGAGGCTAGGTGCCAGAGCTTGAGGCTAGGTGCCAGCGTTCGAGGCTTAGTGCCAGACTTGAGTTTAGGTGTTAGTGCTTGAAGTTTTATGCCAGTGCTCGAGGCTAGGTACCAGTGCTTGACGTGTGTAGGCATGCAGTTCCACCCTTGTATTTATTTGCCCCATCATTGCAGCAGCACGAAAACAGGGTCTCGCTGTTGGGAAACTATTATGGACCTGCCAATCCCGCAAGGGGTTTTGGTCTGCCCTGTAGCTCACATAATCAGTTAGAAGTTGCTGATACAACCCAGCATTCCAGTCTTGTGCAAAATGTCAGCGTCTGCCATCATTTTATGGGGAAGGACACAGAGGGGTGTCACCACCTGAACTTGAACGTTCGCTGCCCTGTCCCCCAGTGTCCTTGCTGCAGTGTGTGTAGCATCCCTGTCTCCCGGCGATGGAGGCAGCTCAGAGGAGCAAGTTGGGGCTGGGTTTTGTAACCTGTGTGCTGATGGCTATTTGAAAACTGACAATTGAACTCGGATCTCTTGCTGGACACTAACTAACATTCAGCATCTAACTAACTAACATCCCATGCACTGCCATGGGATAATGTCTACTCTAGGGCTGCTCCATCTGTCAGCTTTGGCTCTGGCTCTTCTCCAGTTGAGCTTTGCTGCCTCAAAGTGAGTGTGAAGGAGCCATGCGTGTGTGGGGAGGATCGTGAGTCTGCGGAGGGCCTGGCTTACCAAGCTCACTTATTGCATTAGCATGCAGAATGCTTCATCCAGTGATCAGATTGAACGTGAGGCACTGGAGTGAAGCTCACACTCCATTTGGCTCCTGCAAACCCTCAGCCTAACGAGCCCCTTCCTCCTCTCTCCTTTCTTTCCAGCAATGGAAGAGTTAATAGTTGAACTTCGCCTTTTTCTGGAGCTCCTGGACCATGAGTACCTCACATCAACTGTCAGAGAGAAAAAGGCTGTGCTCACCAACATCCTGCTACGAATACAGTCATCATCCAAGGGTGAGTCTCAAAGGCCACTGGGTGTCCTTGGACTAGAGTCCTAGGCTTCCGAGTCCTCTTTATTTCCATTGTACTTCTAAACTGTATTCCTCTGTTCTCTTCCAATATATCCTCTGACACTATCTACTTCATGAGTCCTTCCGGCCCTTCTCCCTCCCCTTCCTGGTTGTCTGGTCGGGTCTCAGGTAGACCAGACAGTTCAATGGAGAACATGATGTCCCCTTGTCGGATTGCTGTGAAGGACCAGAGAGAGTAAATATTTGCGCCATTCTCTAGAGGGCTCAGGAAAGGCTACTGCTGGTGTCTTCCTCCTCACCTGCATCTCTGGTTTTGGTTTATCTCTACAGGCTTTGACGTGAAGGACCATGCTCAGAAGGCAGAGGCCAACAGCCTGCCAGCACCTCCTCAGATGCCTCTGCCTGAGATCCCTCAGCCATGGCTGGTGAGTTGACATCTACCCACCACCCACACTGCGCTGGAGGCCTGAGTCACTCGGCCTGTGACGATGAAAGACTTCTCTGTGCCTGAGGTGCTCCTGACAGTGTGTTCCAAGGGTCCTGAAGCTGCTGATAACAGAAGGAGCTCGAGCTTCTTTATAGAATCATGGAACCACAGTTCTTAGAAATGTGTTAAGATGTGAAGGGGAATCAGGAAACGAAGCAGACAGGACCCCATGATAGAATCTTGCTCCCCCTTCCCCCTGAGAAAGAAAAATGTGAAAATGTGCACATTCCAGAAATGTACTCTTTTTTGCCATATTTTTTTATTTTCAAATTGGGGATGTCCGTGTATACCTTTGCTGTCTCCCTTCAGCTCTTTCTGTACCTTTATATTCTGCAGCTTGCTTAATCAGGGGACTTTGACTTCCATGCAAATGATGGCAAAGTGATCACTTGCTTGCTTCTTTCTACATTTGCTGTGTCTGGTGTGGAGGTTGAGGTAGGGTTCTCTGTGTTTCTTTGGCTAACCTGGAACCCTGTACACAGACTGGCCTCGAACTCACAGAGATTTGCCCGCTTCTGTCACCTGAGCGCTGGGATTAAAGGCGTGCGCCACCACAGCCCAGCTAGGCCATGTGTTCTTTCTGCCAGAGTCTGAACGGAAGAGGCGGGATCATGTCTTGTCTGTCTCCACAGCCATGTTTGTTCTTCATGCTGTGGCTCCTCACCCATGGTGTCTCTTGCACAGCTCTGCACCTGTCTCTGGCTTTACTTAATCTGTGATTGGGCAGAGTGAGATGTTAATGACAATAATAAATACTAACAATAAACAACAATTATAGCAATGTGCTGTAGTTAGAAGGATTTAAGACTTAGGGGTTATTTATAGAACTTTGCACATCATGCTTTTGATTGACTGTAGACAACTAAGGCTGAAGACTGTGGTAAGCACAGATGAGGGGGCAGCTGTTATTTCATATAATCCCTTTAGCCAGGCTTTAAAGACTCCAAAACACTTTATAGCAGCAGTCCTCAACCTGTGGGTTGTTCAACCCTCAAAGGGATGACCCTTTCACAGAGATCACCTAAGATAATTGGAAAACACAGATAATTTACATTAGGATTCATAACAGTAATAAAATCACAGTTATAATTTTATGCTTGGGGTCACCACCAACATGAGGAACTGTATTAAAGTTTCAAAGCATGAGGAAGGTTGAGAATCACTGCATTATAGCGTGTGAGGAGTGTGGCTACCAATTTTTTGGAAAGGGTTTTTGAGGGTGTGTGATTTGCTGAAGGTTACTTGATAAGCGGGGAAAGCAAAAAGTGTTATCTGGTGTTACCCACAGGTAGCAGGAGCCTGTCAGGCTTGGACTTGTTCCCTGAATGGTCCCCAGCAGGTACATGTTCCATGGGGAGGGTGTGGAGGTCAGAGGACAACTTGCAGGAGTCAGTTTTCTCCCTCCAGGATGTGGGATCTAACTCAGGTCATCAGGTTCGAGGGCATTGCCTTCACCTTCAGAGCCATCTTGCTAGATCATAAACTTATTTTTAATTATCCCTTCCTTTTTCTTTCCTGTTGTAAAAACTTTTAAATGACCCTTTATTATTGTTGTATCATTTACTATTCTTATCTCTGTGAAATCATGTTCCAAAAGCATTTCATTACTGATCGATTGTTTTTCCAAAACATGAGCTGGATGGAAATTAGTGGTCTACTATTTTCTGGTTTAAACATTTTAGTTCAGGCTGTCTTGAGCCTCTGTGGCACTCTGTAGCAGGCCAATGTGCCATGCCTTCTATTCCTAAGGAGTACCTTAGGATTGATGGGAAGGAATTTGTACGTAGACCCAGGCAGGAGAGTGGTGGTGGCTACAGGAGCTACATGGCTCCTCCTGTGCAGTCTTCAGCTGGTCTGCCCTGGCCTGCATGTGCTGTGGGCCCTCTAGAGGGACAGAGGCCTTTGGATGACAGTTTGTGCACAAGTGTTCTCATTGATGGGTCAGTGCGTTGTGTCATTGCATTTCTGTGGACTTCCCTCCAGGCCAGTTCATTCAGTGACAGGTTGATCAGTACTTTAGAGAAGAACCTGCCAGCCATGAGCATTTATTTAGTGATATGTGGCCACTAGTCTGGTCATTTTGCTGAAGGACTGAATGATATTTGTGTCAACCCATGACAGTTCAGTGTTTGACTAAGACACTCTAGGACATTTTTTTATGAGGATATTTGGAGCCCTGTCTGCAGCCCAGAATGACTTGGGATTCACTATATATGCCAGGCTGGACTGGGATTCATTATCCTCCTGCCTCTGCTTCTCAGTATTTGTATCACAGACACACTTTCTTAGGGTGTTTAGTGAAAGTTGAGTTTGTCAGTCAATAAACTCAATTCAGTTTGCCTTGGGCTGGCTTTTGGCCAGGCACCATTGATCTTGACAGACTGACTTTGTGGAGAGTTTGCTTCTTGTGAGATAAGAATGCAATGGGAAGGAGACTATACAGGGCAGAGGAGCCTCCAAATGAAGGCACAAACCCAAGCGTGAGCCAGATGTACCCAGAACCATGCAGTACCTGTGATTGGGTCAATGCTAGGGGTTGGGTGAGGAATGCCCAGAAGAGGCCTCAGTGCTGGGTAAGCTGATGGGCAGGAGCTATGAGTTTATCAGGAGAAAACATGATGTCTGTCTTAGTTTGCTTTCTGTTGTAGTGCTAAACACTACAGCTGGCTTAGTGGGGGAAAGAGCTGACTTATGTGTCCTGATCACTGAGGTGGCAGTGTGTGTGTGTGTGTGTGTGTGTGACTTATACTGGTTACAATTATTTCCCATGTTTGCAAACTGCTATTGTCTTCTGTGTTTTGCCTTTTTGTGGCTTATAACATTGGATGCTGCCTTCTGCTTGTTGCTCCCTCCCTCCCTCCCTCCCTCTCTCCCTTCCTTCCTTCTCCGACAGGATCTCACTATGTAGCCCTGGCTGTCCTAGAACTCACAATGTAGACTAGGCTGGTCTAAAACTCACAGAAATCTGCCTTGCAAGTGCTTTTACCTGCTGGGCTGGCCATCTTACTGGCCAGAATTCTTCTTGTCATGGTTTAGATTTTTCCAGAAACATTTGTTGAACTTGTTGAGCTTGTTTTTCCCCCACTGGCCCATAGGATCTTCCTGCTGTGTTTCTAGAGGCGGAACCATGAAGTCTAACTAAAGCGCATCTCTCTGAAGGCTGTGTCCTCAATGGCTTGACTGCATCCGTTCACATACCCCACCCAGTACACACCAGCCTTCCTCACCTCTTTACTCACAACCCCTTGGAGGGAGGTCTGACCTGGATGCAGACTGACATCAGTTTGACTCAGCTCTTTGAAACAGTCCAGGGTGTGAGCTGTCAGTTTTACCAAGTCAGCGGAAAGTGGTGTCCCTGCCTAATGCATGGAACACTCCTCCAAGCAGCTGCAGGATCTCAGGCTGGATGTCTTGCTTTACCCAGTGCCAAGTACAGCATGTCAGGTCCCTCTAGGGACAGTGCCCTAGGGAGGACAGGAAGACTTTGGATGAACCAGCATGGGTCCTGGGACAGCACGGTTTGGTGAGCCATGGCTGCCTACAAAGGCGGTCCTTTAACTTGTAAGTAGATGGCAGGATGGTGACCACCCAGGGAGCTAGGTGGCTAGGAAGGAACTGGAGGTGTTTCTGCAGGGAACAGGCCTGGGAGATTGGCTCGCTGAACTGGGAATCAGTCCTCTCCAGCTGCAGGAGGAGGAAGAGGAGGAGGCGGCAGGGTAGGCGTGCAGTGGCCATTAGTCACTCGCAAAGGATTTTTTGGACTGAGAGTTAGTGGAAAGCGATGGAGTCACATTCTGGAGGGTTTGCATAAGAAGAAAAACAAAGCCCATGATGTCAGTGGAGCAGTGTCTGAGCTGGACGGAGCTTGTCACTTCCTGGTTATTTACAGAACACAGATAGTGTGAATCAGCTATGCACGGAGGAAGGGGAGACATTAGAGGAGGTCTTTAACAGATGCCAGAGTGTCTGAGAACCCAACCATGGCTGAAGCAAGTCCGATTTTTGAGCAGCATGCTTTAGATTCTGGGCCGTGCTCTCTGCATCTGCAGTGTGAGGCTACTTGGTAGCATTCCTGCAGGGATTTCTTTCAGGCTGACAGCTGCAACCTGTGGGCAGGGATGCTGTAGTGCATTGCCAGGCAGGGAGCCGGGGCCCTCATGCAGCAGACCGCCTTCCGTTTGTCCTTTTCTCTTGGCAGAAGGACTGGCAAGAATGATGACCAGCAGGGTCCCATGGATGAGCAAAGAAGGGGCTGGCATGAATTAGTGGTCAGGAAAGTTCAGGAAGAGGGAATCTGAGCTGCATCTTGAAGGCTGGTAGGATCTGGTTAGGGCAGAGGCTAAGGAGCTCCTCCTACCTCTTCCGTGGTCTCACGTAGTGAGTGGTACAGCCTGAGTTTGTAGGAAATTCTGATGGGGTGGTTTAAGTAAAGCACAGACTCTGCCTTCAGAGTGGCAGGAAGGGGTGGTTTGGGGAATACCTGGGAACAGGCACACACTTCCTCTGTTCTTGGTGCTGTCTGTAGGGGGCGCTCAGCCTTGGGGTGTCTGGAGGGCGTTATAGGGATGAAGAGGAACACACAGACCCTGTCTCAGCTGGAGAAGGGCTCAGAGGGCAAGTGGATTTGGGGGCAGGCTTCCGATGGCTCACTGCGTGCCACTAGTAGTCAGGTGAGGTGTCCCCACATGAAGATGGGACTCCCTTTAGGTACTGGTGGGACCTGAGTGGTCTGTGACCAGCCAGAGTGAGGCTGGGGGCTGGATATGAGCAGGAAAAGTGGTGTAGGTCCTAGGGGCCTTGGGCCTCTCTATGGAGGAGTACTGGGTTGCCTTCAGCAGCCACACTGATCCGGCACGCTTTTCCTTCTGCCCTCAGCCTCCTGACAGCGGGCCTCCACCCTTACCGACGTCCTCTCTCCCAGAGGGTTACTATGAGGAAGCCGTGCCGCTGAGTCCTGGAAAAGCTCCAGAGTACATCACATCAAGTGAGTTGAGTGGCAGCCGCCCACCAGGGTGGTCCCTTCATTCACAGAAGTGGCGATGAGCCAAGGCACTGGGTGTGGAGGCAGGGGGCTGAACACCACCACAGAAATGTGGGTGCGCTGGATCTGGGGCCAGGTGTGGGCAGATGAGGTTCCCTGAGGTCGGGAGAGGAGTGCTTCTGTGGCACATTCATGTGTGCCCTCTCTTGGTCTCCACAGAGCACAGCCCTGAAGGCCGAGGTTTCGTCCAGGCTGCCTGCCTGTTGGGTGCAGGCTTTTCTTTTGTGCTGGCAGGTTTGAGAGCAGGTTTTACAGGATAATTTTTGCTGAAGTCCTGGTCCTCAGGCCCCTGATACCGACCTCAGTAATCATCACCCCTGGCATTCAGGTGTCATTACTGATGCTGTCCTCTCCTGCGGTGTCACACACTGTTGCCCTCTCAGCAGGATACTGGGTGGAATGTCTCATTGTGTGCTCAGGGGACAGATGGGTTGTGTAGGAAAGGGAGGGACTGCTGATTGAGGTCATGAGTCTCCAGAGCATTAATAGTCCATGCATTAATAGTCTCCACTCTTCTGTCCTCCCCAATAAATAAGCAAATGAGTTGCTTTAAACTTTTTAGGTATCCCTGTACACCCAACACTCCTGCTTTGTGACAGACTCCTAGGGCAGAGTATAGCAAGTTCTAACGGTACTTACTGTCCACCACCATCTGCCCCCCCTCAACCCCAGCGCTATTCAAGGGCCAATACCAAGTAGCCACATGCTCTGGAAACTGTGGTGTTTCCCAGGGTGCATTTGTTACTGACTTCTCGGACTTCTGGCTGGCTACCGACAGCTTCTCCAGGGGCTGGGTGACAGTCTGGTTCTCCCAGTGTCTGGCCATCTGGCTCTTAGTTCCCTGTCTTTGATAGCACGAACCTCAGATGGTGTGCTCTCCATCATGTTGGCGACAGAGGCCACATTCTGCCTCTGCCCTGCCGCACGGTGTCCACACAGCCATAGGCTTTGGGGTCCTTTGAACTGTATGTGAGAATGGGGCGTTCAAAGCGTAATTCCTCAATTTTATTAAAAATGAGAATTGACATGTTCCTTTGTGGCTGCCGTGTAAAGAGGGGGTGATGGACAGGTGCAGACACTGGGAGCAGTCACTTGCTGGTGTGTAGGCAGGGAGAGATGAGGGAGAAAGGGCGCTGGTCTGAGGATGGCAGGGGGGCCTGGCCTCTGTCTCTGGGCATGGTGTGCTCAGACTGAAACCCTCAGGTCTGCGTCACCAGCGCCTCTCAGGCCCTGTCACCACTCCCCAGGCGAGATGTGCCTACGTCACCTCTACCGCAACCTGCAGGCTTGAATGCTCTGCTGTCCCTCTAAAGGATCTGCACGTGGGGTTGAACCCATGCGATCGCTCTTCCTTCCCTGACCGTGCACCTAGCTGTCACATGCAGCAAGATGGCCCTCCCTTCCCCAGGCTCGCAGCCTGGTGTAGAGGGCTGACCAGTGGGCGCCCAGGGAAGAGTCTGTTAGGCTGTGTGTGTTGTCACAAGGGCCTGGGACCCAGTGTGTTATGTTGGCCTGTTCAGGTTGCTGCCACAGATCGCCTTCAGCACCGCCAGGGGCTGGAATGCTGAAATTATTGGGAAATGCTGGCATTTTCAGTTTATGGTCCCAGTGGCTTATTTTACAGTTGACCAGTCTTAGAGATATCACCCTCTGGCTGTGTCCTTAGCCCTGTCTCGACAGTGTGCTTTCTTCCCCCCTTCTCTTCCTCTTTCCCTTTGTCCTTCCCTCTCACCACTCCCATTGGACTGAGGCCACATATGTGGTCATAGCCATTTCAGTAACAGATTGCATCTTAAGTATAACCCAACTCCATCTCAAATGCAGTCATGTTAGCCTGAGGACCTCAGCGCACGAGGACCAGGGAATCACTCTTGAGCCCATGACACGGGCTTCAGTATCAAGGAGTGCTCGCCAGGGGAAGCCATGAGCTTAACACTAGTGTATGGAGCACCTGTTATACCAGCAGAGAGGGAGGAGATGGGGGCAGCTTGTGGTGTGTGCGGAGAAGAGGAAGCAGGGTATGTGTGGAGAAACTAAGCTGAGGTGACGCGTCCTTGTGTGAAGGGCATTCTGTCAGAAAGATGGGACAAGTCCCATCACAGGTCCAAGGTGACACAGTGGATCCCGAGTGGTCTGGAGGGTCTGTGGGCAACATTGTCAGCAGACAGACATGGGGGGGGGGACAAGGTTCTGAGTGGCCACCCTAGGCAGAGTGCAGCTAATGCTGCCATCACCGTGACATCATCCTGTCCATGTGAAAGAGTCTAGAGATGCTAAAAATAAATCTCCATGTGTTAGTCATTGCATTTAAAGCACTTTGTTGAGTTCCCACTGCCTGTGTCTTGGAGTTTTCATCCTCTGGGCTGAAGCCCACAGTGGTTGGAAATGTGGCCAGGTGAGGTGAGCTGTGAGCTCTGCCTCTCACCTCTGTTTTTTCTCCTTCACAGATTATGACTCTGATGCCATGAGCAGTTCCTATGAGTCATATGATGAAGAGGAGGAGGATGGAAAAGGGAAGAAAACCCGGCACCAGTGGCCTTCGGAGGAGGCCTCTATGGACCTGGTGAAAGATGCCAAGATCTGCGCCTTCCTGCTGCGCAAGAAACGCTTTGGCCAGTGGACCAAGCTGCTCTGCGTCATCAAGGACACCAAGTTGCTGGTGAGGGGGCCCAGTGGGGCTGCACTGTCTGAAGTACGGGATGGCAGCTGGTACTTGCAGATGTTACCACAGGGAAGGCAAGCACCGGAAAGCTTTTTGAAAGCCAGGGGCTGGGCCCAGCCCAGCCAGGCTGGCACCTCTGCAGGGTTCCCCCACACCCAAATCCTTCCCATCCTGCTGGGCCTGTGGCTTGTGTCAGTGGAAATGAGCAGTGTTGAGACTTGCCACAAGTTGCAAGATAGACTTTCTCATTTGTAATGAGTCAGTAAATTCCTCTCACAGCAGTGGCCCGAGCCTGTGGAAGGGCTTGGGGAGGGCGGATGGAAAGGGCATTTTTTTTTTTTTTTTTTGGATAGCCTAAAGATTTCCAAAATGAAGCTTTTTTGTTTTGTTTTGTTTTTGAGGCAAACAGGAAGGTGGAGTATGTTCAGAAGCAGGGGTGTGGAAGGTACAGAACTCCGGCCATGTGCTGTCCCCTTGGGGGCTCTAAGAAGGAGCAGCCTTGGAGACTGCATTCCTGCACACACACCCACACTTCCTTTAGAAACCATGGCTGGTCAGTAGGTCAGGGGCTTTACTGCACAGTTTTTGCCTTTCGTCTTTCAAATTAATCTCAGGAAACAATTGCTCAAAAGTGAGTCATTAAAGCCGAGAAGCTGAGTTTCTGTTTCCGCACATTTAGTGGAGCAGATAACACTGTAAGAGAGACCGTGCTCCCCAGTGAGTTATGGGTGTCTTGCTTGCCTAGGCTCTTTAGGACCTCGTATGTGCTTCATGTTTTTGCTCAGCTTTTTAAAACAAAGTGCATATTTTTTCCACATGTGTGGCCTGAATTTCTTCCAAATATAGAATATGCCAAAAATGATGCCATCAGGGATTTTTGAGCATGAAAAATATTAACACAGTCCTTATTTATAATCTGATGCAATCGCTGCAATGTGGTGACATGCTATATAAAATATTTTTAAATGAACTCAACTCTCATGTGAAAGAGAAGTTTTATTCCCTATGTAGGTGGCCTTAGGGCTGATGCAGGGTCAGCATTTTAGGGCCCAGGTCCCTGGTCTCTGTCCCACACCCATTTATTGTCTTCCTCCTCCCCTGCTTTTTTTCTGTAATTTGACCTCCTCTGAGATCCTTCTCTCTGTTCCATGATGGTAATAACTTCCATAGAGACTAGCTTAATTGAGGAAATAAATAGAAAATGACGGAAGACACTATGCAAGAGAAAATGCGAGATGAAACTTGGCTTTTTATTTGATTTTGCCTTTGTTATGAGAGACTCTTGCTATTAGCTCAGGTTAACCCCAAACTCACTATGTAGCCTGTGATAGCCAATGTAGCCTGGGCTATGCTTGAGCTCTCAATCCTCCTTCCTCCATCTCCCGAATGATGAGATTTTGGGCAAGCACCACCACATTTGGCTTAAAGTAGTTACTGTTGTTGTTGGTGGTAGGTGTGTGTTTTATTTTCCTTCAGAATTAAGCCATGACTATACTCAGATGGAGAAAGTGTGCTTTCCCTTCCTTGAGCATCCTGCCTGGCCTCAACCCCCGTGGATGTCATGCCTACCTACTTTGTTGACTCCATCTCTAGGCCTTTAGTTGCATGCCCAGACAATTTTGCACCCACTCAGGCAGCCCCCTGAGACGGAAGCACCCATTCTCTAGCTGCTGGATAGCCCTGGGAGAGCTGCCTCCATTGAGCCAAGTCACCCTTCTTTCCCAGGGCCTGCCTGTATCTAGTGCTGAGAGAGTGGAGGTCAGCCTCTTGGGGCACACCCTCTGAGGCCTTCCAGTTCTAGGGCCTGTGGGCTCCCCATGCATCTTCCTCAGGCTCTTAGCAGCAGCCTTGGAAAAGTCCTGTCTGGAGGAAGCCTGGGCTTGCCTCTTCCAGATCTCCAGACAGTCCTGGAGTTACAGGTGGTTGTAAGCCAGCCGATGTGGATGCTGGGGCCCAAGCCTGGGTTCTCAATAAGAGCACTGTGTGTTCTTAAGTGCTGAGCCATCCCTCCAGCTCCAAGTGTCTTCATTATTGCACTAAGCTGCCCACAGTGAAGTTGCAACAGATCTAATAGTCCTTTTATATATCTCATATTCACATGAAAATAAATGTAATTTTATGAAGATGCTTCAATAGACACAGGCTAGATTAGTGTCTTCCTAGTGATGGCCTACATGCTCCTTAGACCTCAGCTGGATTAACACACATCCGTGTGTGCCAGACGCAGAAGGAGAGTGGGAAGGCCCACCTATTAGCTGGCTGCTGCACCATCCCTCTGTCCCAACACCTCCTGAAGCCTGGCCAGCACTGGAGGTTTGGTTGTACTGGGTTTCACCATTGTTTCATTTGTCCTCGTGGCATTCATTGGTCTGTTGTGTTCCATGCAGTGCTATAAAAGTTCCAAGGACCAGCAGCCCCAGATGGAGCTGCCACTGCAAGGCTGCAGCATCACATACATCCCAAGAGACAGCAAGAAGAAGAAACATGAGCTGAAAATCACCCAGCAAGGCACAGACCCGCTGGTTCTCGCCGTCCAGAGCAAGGAGCAGGCTGAGCAGTGGCTGAAGGTAGGCCACGTGCCATGGTTCTGAGCCACACCCTATTCCAGACCTCTTCCTGGGCTCTTGTTCATTTGATTATTAATTTGTCAAAACCTCGAATAGGTTAACCTGGGAGTTTTGTGGGGTTTTTAAAATTATGTTTTAATTTTTCACACACATGAGTGCACACACACACACAGATGTGGATATGTGCACACATATGCACACATGCATACAAACACAGCATGGCACGCATATGGAGATCAGAGGGCAACTTGTGAAAACTGGTTCTCCTGTCCCCCCATGTGGGTCTCCGGGACTGAACTTAAGTCATCAGGCTTGCTAGTAAGTGCCTTTACCCACTGAGCCATCCTTTTGTTATTGCTGATTGTTTTGAAGTTTTGGTTGTGAGTCTTAACCTTTAACAGCAGAGCTAGTTCTTGTTTTGTTTTGGTAGTGAATACTCATTGGTAGAATCTCACTCACCTGACTCCCAGCTGCAGGAGGCTGTCTGTCCCAGGAGGCTGTCCATCTGTCCAGCTGTTGCTTTTAGTATTGCTTGGATTCATCTGCCCCTCACAGAAATGAGATTTAAATGAGATACCTTCTTTGTACTCTCTGTCTCTCATTCCCCTTTGGCTTCTCTCTGTCCCTTAGTCCCCTTTGGCTTCTCTCTGTCCCTTAGTCCCCTTTGGTCTTTCTTACTTATTTCTTGGTTCTGTCCAATTCACTTCCCTTGTTTCTGATCTGTTTGGTCCCTGTTGTAATTTTGGTTTCGGAATCTATCTTATCTGCTCAGGCTGTTCTGCTGAACCTCCCAGGTGGGGTGGCCTTAAACAGCAGCAATTTACTTCTGAGCTCTGGAGGCTGGAAACTGTACATCAAGGTGGCTGCGGAGTTGGTCTCTGATGAGAGCTGCTCACTGTTCTCATGTGTGAAGAGGGAGGCAGCCACCTACAGCCTTTTTATGCTACACCAATGAATCCCACACATGAGGGCTCCATCCCACAACCTCATCACAGCTCAAATGCCACGCCCTGAGCACTGCTGTTTTGGAGCTTAGGAGTCCATAGTTTTAAGCCCTTGGGTTTCTAGCTGTTTCTTTTTCAGTTTGGAAATATCTCCTTTACGATTTTAAATCTCTCTTAAAATGCTGGTTGGTCTGGTTTTTACCTATGAATGGGATGTGCATGTTGGCTCTGACCCTGGTCTTTGCAGGAGCTTGGAATTTTCCTCCTGTCTATTGTATTTATTCTATTCCTATGCCCATACTGGTCATGGTATTTGTGGAAAAAATATATTGAAATAATGTTTATGGCATCAATATTGGGTATTGCTCATATAACCATAAGCCAGTCCTTTAAAGCAAATACAATTCCATGATCCCTTTGAGTTCCCATGTTCCATGGTCCTGGGAAGAGATTCTGTGCCTTCAGAAAGAAGCTGTGCGTGTCTGTCTTCCCAAGGCTTCAGTTCATCATGGCCGTGGCGAGGACAGGGCTGGAAGGAGGTGACATGAACTTGGGTATCTATGACACTCAGTTTAAAGGCCACTTTCCTCACTGCTGACAAATGCTTAAAGAAGGGAGGGCTTACCTTGGCTCACAGTTTGAAGTTGCCATGGTGGTGAAGGCATGGCGACAGGTGTGAGGGTCAGCTGGAGCCAGCAAGCAGAGACTTTTCCCCTTTTATTCAACCAGGCCTCTCTTTAGTTAACCCTTTCTGGGTACATCCTCCAAACACATGCCCAGAGTTGTGTCTCGGGTGATTTTAAAACCTGGCAACTTGACAGTGAAGATGAACACACACCCTATTAGGGGAACCATGAACCTCAATTCCCCATGGCTCCCAGGAACACACAGTCACACTCCAGGCCCATGAAGATACTTTGTCGGCTGCCCAGAGAATCACAGAGGTGGCCTGTTTTACTGTCAGCAGTGACTGTGGTGTTACTGAAATTTGTGACACCCAGGAGGTCTGGGAGACGTTTTCCTTGGTCACCCCTGCAAGCCTCAGGCTCAGGAATCTCTCCAGGGGGTTTGTGTAGCCTTTAGACTGAGACCTTCACTATGTTGCTAGAGCTCCAGAGCCTTCCAGGTTTATAGAGGCTTCTGCATCTCATCAACGCATGCTGCCTCTGCATGTGTGCGTGCGTGCGTGCGTGCGTGCGTGCATGTGTGTGTGTGTGTGTGTGTGTGTGTGTGTGTGTGTGTATGCATGAGTGTGTGTGAAGGCCAGAGGACAAGCTCAGATGTCATTCCTCAGGTACCGTCCACCTTGCTTTTCTGAGACAGGCTCTCCCACTTGTAACCAGCTCAGAGCTCATGGAGAAGGTTAGTAGACGGGCTGACCAGGGAGCCACATCACTGCCACCCAACACTGCAGTTCAATCACTTAATCCTGCACCCAGCCTTTTTTTATGTGGGTCCCCACACTTAGCACCTCAGACACTCGTGGTCCCCTAATCTCCTGCCACTATTAGTGGTGTCATTTGATACTGAGGGGTTGAGTCTCAGGCCACATGCTGTCACGTTCTGCAGGGATCCATCCAGGCACCAAGGAGTTTTTGGTTTGACTGAAGCTTTGCTCTTGTTTGAGTGATTGACAGCTAGCTCTTCTCTCTCTTATCCCTCTTCCCGTGATCTTAGCTTGCCTGTTCACCTAAGGAGAAAGGACAGTTGTGGAGTGGGAAGCTTTCTTGGTGACCGTTTCTTTCTCTGGGCTCCTTTCCTGGCTGCCTGGGCTCTTCTTTCCTTGGTTGGCTCTCACTGTCCCGTGGAAAGCTTGGTAGGGCCACCCTGAACAGGGGGTGGTTCCTGCTCACCCTCTGTCCTGCAGCCTTAGATACTCAGCCTGCTGAGCCCTCTGCACATCTGACACGAAGTCACTCTGAGTCCTTGAGCATCTGGCAAACAGACAAGCGAAACAGCATGCTTCCTAGATGCTGATGGAGTGAAATAGCCTTGACTTCTACTTCCCCCATGTGTGAGCTACTTACAAGCTGAGGCGCTTAGCTAATTATAGCACGGCAGCTCCACTCGTGAATGGTAGTTAATTGCAGGAATTTTAATTTTAGTGTATTTCTTACAAGGGAAGTAAATAACACGAGGCGGATAATCTTTTTCTGAAGAGTTCGAATTGATTACTCTATTTAACCCTTGTGTTATTATTTCTGCAGTACCAGAGCCCAAGAAATCCTAGAAACGGAAATCCAAATGGCTGTGGAGCTCTCAGCCCTAATGGGGCGTCTGTATCACCCCGTCAAGTTCAGGGAGCATTGTGGAAGCGGGGTGGGAAGACTGGAAGATCCAGAGGGAGGGTGGAGGGGCGCACCAAGCCTTGTTATCCTTGGGGATTTTTAGGTAAGGTCTGACAGTGGGGAGGATGTGACTCCCTGCACTTTTTCTGAGGATCTATAAGCAGTTCCCCGGGGCGGAAGGGGTGTTTTCTTCAGCTGTGTACCAATGACACCATGCCAGGACTTGTGTAAGTCACTACTCATGTTTCTATCGCTAATCCTGGTAGAGTTCGTTAGGTCATAAGAAAAAAAAAAATATGGAAGTAAAGGGGCTAGTTAGGAAGGAAGGGGACAGCAGGGCAGGGGAAGAGAGGGAAACAGGGTAACTATGGTAAAAATTATATGCGTGTGTGACAAGCTCACTAAGAAATCTATTGCATTTAATTAACAATATATGCTAATAAAACAATGAAAGTCAAGTAACAAAGGGGTTTCAGTAATAGGATTTTACTTGTCTCAGCTTAGCAGAGCCTAGGATAGTCTGGTTTCTTCCAGATCCATCATTAGATCAATTACCTTATCAGAAAAATGATTTTAATTATTTATTATTGTGTGTATGTGTGTGCGCGCGCATGCGTGCGTGAGTGCATGTGTGTGCGTGTTCGTGTGTGTGTTTGCTGTGGCGTGTATGTTGAAGGGCAGAGGACTACAGTCATTTCTTCCACTATGGGATCCTGGGATTGAAGCCACGTTGTCAGGTTTGTGCTGTAGGTGTCTTTACCTACCTGCAGAGCCACAGAGATGGCGGAGCATTTAAATAACTCTCTCTTCTCAGGGAACTTCTGTTTTAGTTCCTGGTTCTCCTGGCTCTCCTGCCTCAGACGAGGACAAAGAGAAGCAGAGTGGGTTATATAGCTGGTCTCTTCATTCACTCTTAGACGCAAACCTCCATCTGGGTCATTTCCTTTCACACCAAAGAAGTCCATCTTTTGGTTTTTTTTTTTTTAATGTGGGAGGGGATAGAAGGATGGCTCAGTGGTTAAGAACACAGACTGCTCTTTCAGAGGAGCCAAGTTCAATTTGAAGCATCTATATTGGATGACTCACAGCTGTCCGTAACACCAGCTCCAGGGGGATATGACCCATCTGGCCCCCTTGGTCATCTACACTCTTGTACATACACACACACACACACACACACACACACACACACACACAGAGGCACACACAAAGTATTTTTTTTTAATTAAGTAGAGATGTTTGAAAGTCCACAGTGCCGGCCTTCTGAAAATGGACTTCCAGGTGGTGTCAAAGCCACCATCTTGCTCTGCTTCCCCGAGAAGCCAACCCTGTCCACAGCCATTGTTCCCAAATTTGGTGTCATCATCACTGGAGCCTCTGAAGTTGCTTTACTCTTTGGCCTCCAGCAGGTGACCCTGCAGTATTGGTGCAGAGGGTCAGCCTTCTTGGTCTCCATCTGTCATGTGTCCAAAAGATGCTGTCTTTCACTGGGTTTGAAGAGGCTTGGCCGTTGTCTTTTCCAAGGATGCCTGCCCTTCTCCCCTCCTCTGGCAGCTCCCTTGTTTGTGTTCTATCATTGGGTAATCCCACAGACTTGGGGTTCCCTGTGCTGCAGCTCTTCACCCCTGTGGCCCTCTGGCTGTGTGCTCCTCATAGTCTGTCCTCACCGTTTTGGAAGCCTCTGGCTCACTGTACCCTCGTGCCCACTTCAACATGGATCCTAGTTTGTATTCTAGCACTTTCCCATCTTTCTCTATAGATCATGTCT